GTGAATGTCACGGCCACAGACTCCCATTTGTCTAGGACTAGGGAGTCAGAACATACAGACCAACATCTTCTAGCTAAGGCTGTTCAGAGATTCCTAAAGATAACGGAAGGTGGACAACAGAAATGGGATGCAACTACCTATCCCCTAGCCTCTCTGCTTTTGTTTTGATGGTGGGTTTCTGTCTCTGTTTTACCATTGCACACAATCTACCAGCTCCACTGGGAGTAATACTGGTAGGATAGATATTCTGCAGGGATTAGCGTAATAAACTATTAATGGAACTCCATTAATCAGGATTGGAATGAGTTTACCAATTTGCTCTCACCAAGAGACTAATCCTGATCAGGGACTGTAGCCATAGGACAAGGGGGAATGGGTTTAAATGTGAACAGGGGAAGTTTGGGTTAATTAAGTAAGGAAAAAGTTCTTTACAGTGAGGGTGCTGAGGCACTGGAACAGGCTGCCTGAAGAAGTGGTGAATGCTCCATCCCTGCCAGTGTTTGAGGCTGGGTTGGACAGGGTCCTGGGCAACATGGTGCAGTGTGAGACATTGGAATGCCTCCCACGGCAGGGGAGGTTGGAACTGGATGATCTTAAGGTCCTTTCCAACCCAAACCATTCTGTGATTCTATGATCAGAGCTGATGCAGTCAGGAGCATGAGCTCATGTATGCTATGCAAGCCAAGCCCCAAGTATACACCACTAAAACATTCTGATCTCACATGCAAGGGTACAGTGTGATCCACAAACATTTCAATTAAGAGGTGATGGTTACAAGTTATGACAGCTACAGCAGTATTTAGCTTAAACCACTTGTATTGTGGTCCTGACATTTTTCAGACCAGAATTAGAAGCATTTCTGCAAAAATACCCTTCTTCCACATTGAAACATTTCTCTTGAAAGAGGTACCTCAGATATTAAACCTTTGATCCATCCCTATAAATGATAAACATGTTAGCTGCTGTCAGAAACAGGGTGCTCTAGTAGAGAACGTGGAGTTCTCCACTGTGTACTGAGAGTCATTCACAACTCCCACCCAGCGCCATGCACGTGCCTGTTCTAAAACTCTACTGCCATTATAGCTGAGAGGTTTGTGCGTGTTGATTGCACAAATCAGCAGTTTCTGCTTTGGCAGAATTTTACCAGAGTGGGTATTCTCGTTGTACCTTGCTGTTGGTCCTTTAGCGCAAGCTCTGCATGGGGAAATACTCTCTGCAAGGCTTGTAAAATTCTTGCTAGTGTGTTTTCAAACAGTGGTTTTGCAATAGGTGATAGTGCTCGCCCAGGTGAAGCCACAGCCCTCTGTGAAGCTGGAACAGTCTTCTGCATAGCCACGACAAAATCCTGTGCTGTTATTGTAACAGAACCGATATCTAACTGCAGTTTCTCACTACTTTTGTATATCTGAGGATAGCGGCGGCGCAAAGCACAGAGCGCAGCTTCAGCACATAAGGATTTAATATCAGCACCACAGTATCCTAATAAACAAAACAAGAATCAAATGTTATGTCAGTCTCAGGCAAAACAGAAGTTAAGGCAAAGGTTTCTAAAGTGCAATAACTGAAAGACGTCGTATGCAGCCAAAAATGAACAGGTTAGGAGAGAACTTAAAGAGTTATTGCACTGCAGAGTGGTTACGTGACTCGCAGCCTGATACCCTGTGCTTATGAAATGGCCACAACTTTGCTCCTGAGGAGTATGCCCCAAACCCAGGTCAGCGTTCTGAGAGACACAAAAAACTTACAAAAAAGGCAGCATCTAACTTTGCTGCTCCCAAGGCGTGGAGCTGCCTCACAGCCTCGCTCTGCAGTGAGGCACAGGAGCTCAGGGACTGCCTGGTACAAGCTCAGATTACTCAGGACTCAGTCACATGCAAGTAACTCACTTGGTTTTCAAACCTACCAGTAGATTTTTCAGCCAGCTCTTCAAGAAATGCGTCCAGAGGCTTAGGGGTCCAGTCTCGAGTGTGAATCTTGAGAATCTCTTTTCTAGCCTGGAAACAAAATGGTTGAATTTTAGTTTGTCCTAAGTTTACTCTTACAAAAAAACGCCACAAACAAACCCAAGACCAACCCAACCACCACAAAACCCCAGAACCCCTCATAGTAAAATACTTAAAAGATTAGCAGATAAGAAAAGCATTTGTACTCCAGTTCATATGCTCTTTGCTTTTCCAAACAGGACATTTAATAATTCTTAACCTGTTACATTAAACTCTTATTTCAGTGCAGGCCTCCCAGAAAAAAACACAGTTGTAGCTTCCATAAAAACCACGTTTCCACAAGTATAAGATCTAATGATCCTGCAAACAGAATTTTTCATCAAAGAGAATTCTCTTAAACTCTGCACAATTTCATGGTGACAGTCTCTTTAGCTCATCAGATTTGCTTTTCTGCCAGTTCACTCAAGGAAAACAGTCCTAGCTCTACGTTTCAAGTTGTTACAATTACTACAAAGAATAACAATAATTAGGACTCAAACGACTGTCACTGATCCAGAGAATGTCAACCACTGCCTATCTTCATCTCTGATCTCAGCAAGACTTAAGATTTTTCTGGTACAGAGATTAGCAAAAAGGAATTTTTTCTGTGCACACCATTTCTTTCATTTTCAAGCTGCCACAGCAGTGATCTGTAACTAATTCATACGTTAATTCTTTGTTAAACATCTCGGTGACTAGCAACATCCCATTGTTTTGGTTGGCCAGAGTGAAATGAAAACACATGATAGAACTAACTACTTAAAATCACCTTAGTCATAGATATCCAGTATCAGATCTGCCCCTCGCAGTACAAGGCAGTCTCTCCAAGCATCCCCCTCTTATGTCTGAGTTGTACAAAGCTGATTTCAACTCTAACTGCATTGTTAAGTGTTTGTGTTTCAAAGATGGACTTTGCCACATTAGCAGCAAGGCTGAGTTGAAATTCTGACCTCTTTATTTGGCAGACTGAAGAGGAACTCTCGATCGAAGCGGCCAGGTCTTCGTAACGCTGGATCTATAGAATCCAGCCTGTTGGTGGCTCCGATGACCACAATCTCTCCTCTGCTGTCTAAGCCATCCATAAGTGCCAGAAGTGTTGACACAATAGAGCTAACAGAAAAAATACAATTTTCAATCACTGGTTTAGTAACTTTAATTATATTCCACATGACCTTCTCCAACAAACACTCAAGAAGGGCAAGCTTTAACTGATGAGATGCTGATAAGTGGAAGACTCATTTTAAGGCATAAACAGATAAGGTAACACAGACCTTGTGCTGATATCAAGCTTTGTGAAGTGTTTTCAATTACTGTTTAAAAATCACCTGACATATCAGCAGCTCTGAATATCTAGTTTTCAGGATAAATCTATGTGTCACATAAACTTAAATAGGTTGTGGTCCTCTTTGTAAAAAGTTCAAGCAAATTCTATGGAGGCACAAAAAGTGCACTACCTGTGAATTTGGTCTTGTTTACTGGACCTCACAGGAGCCAGACCATCTATCTCATCGAAGAAAATGATTGAAGGACGCATCTGGTAGGCCTAGAATGCAAACACAGGAATATTGACACAAGTAAACCAGCACTCCTGGAAAGAGAAAATGCATGAAAAACGTTTTGCTTGGAAAGTCACTGGAACTGGGTTTTTCAGACTATCACCAGGGATCTTTACTAACTGAGCTAACGGAGTAAGTGGCACAAGCAAGTGAAGACAGCAGCTTATGTCAACCCACTGAGACTGGGTGACAGGAAACAAATCATAGCAGTAGTTGCTACAGCTCTCTGACAACTACGAAGAATAGTGCCAAGATTTAATTCAATTACAGGTCTGGAAGCAAGCTTCCATTGTGAATTTCAATGACCTACATCTGCTTCCCTCTGATCTAAAGCCACCACCTCTTGCCTCTTGAAACCTTTTCTTTGTGGCTGTTCAGGGGTTTTTTTGAGGCAAGGAGGGGGTTGCTGCATGAAGTACTCTCATTTATTTATCTTTCCCAATACGTCCCATAAAAACCCACTGAAAAAGGGAACTCTGACAATCCCATTTCAGTGGAAGGAACTGACAAAACATGAAAAAGAATGAGTTCTCCTTAAAAATATTGACAGCAAAAAATTACCATTACAACTGGGATAGAACACAGGGCATGTTTCAACCTTACCTGATCAAATAATAAACGAAGCTGTCGTTCAGATTCCCCCACCCATTTACTCAGGCAGTCAGCACCTTTTCTCATGAAGAAGGCTATTCTCCTGTCACTCTGGCTACACTCATTAGCAAGTGCACGAGCAACCAGTGTTTTTCCAGTCCCTGGTGGACCATAGAATAGACAGCCTCTGCAATTAAAACGAACAAAAGCCCATAAAAGATTCACATAAGAAATATAAAACATCATGAAAAAGAACTACAGCCCCCATCCCTAAAACACACAACTCTTCTCTCCTAAACAAAACACAGAGATAGCAATAACAGCTGGAGTCTTGTGTTGCTGTACAACTCAACAAGGCAGCAAACGAAATGAAGAAAAAGGGTAATGCAAATGTACAAAACCCCAAGAAAAGATGATAATAACCCAGAAGGACACTTCCAAATCTGGTGACAAACTAACAGGGGTGGTTGCACCACAGCAGAGTCAAGCAAGAACAAACCTCAGCACAGACTCTGAGACTGGGCTAACTTACAAATCACCAGTTCATTTTCCAATGCTACACTGAATATCCTTTCTTGTTTGCACAAAAGGCAAGATTCGACAGTACAGCATTTAACTGTCCCTTAAAAAGCTTTTCAGTTACTGCATTTGCTCTCCCATTGCTGATGATAGACAAGGAGGGAGCCTAAAGTTGGGCCCTGTTCTGAATTTCGAGCTAGATATACCCACAACACCTTTTCAAGATAAGACACTTCCAGATATATTCTTCTCACAAAGTAAATCTCTGAACCTACATACATCCTGGATTCTATCCATTAAGAGATTACTTTTTCTACTGCTAGGAATCCCTATCCCTACTGCTGAAAATTTTGAAGCATGGAAACATATTGATAGCTAGGTTGAATATTCTCCTGCAAATAGGTGGTTTAGAATTTATAGTTTTAAACAACATCTTTTACCTTGGAGGCTGAATCTTGAATCTCTCAAAGAATTCTGGGTAAAGCAATGGAAAAACAACCATCTCTTTTAAAGATGAAATGTGGTCAGAAAGACCACCCACAGCATCAAATCGTACCTAAATTCAACAGAACACATTTGATATGTTAAAGAAAGCTGCAGCCTCAGTAAGGTTCCATCAGCAATTTTATGTCAGCACAAAGGAAATGTTCTGGGCAACTTTCAAACTGCTTGAGAGAACACTGGAAACCAAGCCAGTTGTAGAGGGCATGTTCTTGAAAGCTTTCGATGCTGGAAACCCCTCACAGACACAGCAACCCAGCGACACTTACTGAACAATCGATCTGCATTGGATCAACATCAGCCAAACTTGCTCCAATTTTCATTCGATCCTTGCGAATTCCCTTTAACTCATCTGTCCGGAAGTTCAGTGGCAGACACCTGATTGGAATGAAGGAGAAAGAAAAAAGTGCTTTCTAACTTCTGATGCAGCCAGAAGATTTCTGCTTTTAGAATGATGGCAAATGAATGCAGAAGACCTTGTAAATAAACTTCCTAAAGAGTTAAATATTTGTGTAAATAGTTTTACATTTCATGTACATGAGTAAATAAAGGAAAATGGTCACTCCAGAGATGAAACAGAGTTAATTATTTTACCAACTCCTTCCACTTAGGAATACCCATGCCAGTTACTCTGTATGTGGAGACTGTGAACTGACCTTGATTTGTGTAATGGAAGAACCCTCCCCAAAGCACACTGACATCACATCTTTCAAAGATGTCTTTTTGCTACTACATTCAAAAAGTTACAGCCTATGGGGATACTTATTTCCATGTGGATTAACATTCTAAAGGCTGCCCACCACTGCTGGTCCTTCCTGGGGACTTTGGGATGTGTGTGCCACAAGACACACATGTCTGAAAGACATCAGGCTGAAAACCTGTTTGTTAGAGTCTTACTAGAATAGTTTTTCTAGAGCATTTGTTAAGTAACAAAACCTCCATAATTTCCTCTTATTCTGTTATGGTGGTTTTCTTTCTGAATAAACTACTATAAAGCACAGAACCAGTACAATTTTACATTAAAAAACGTACACAATAATGTTCCTCCCCCCATTCCTGCCTAGAAATCGAATTGCTTATTAAAAAGCAATAGACTCCTCCCTCCCCTATTCTCCAGTTTCATTAACCTTCTTAGATTTCTGTTATGGCTATGCCTCCTACGCCTCTCAAAATGCTCTTCATCATCATCAGATGAGGAGGAAGAGGATGTGGAATCATTGCTGTGGACTGCATGTTTCCGCCTGCAAACATTTAAACAAGGAAGAAAATTAAAGTACACCTTAAGTAATACCAAATTTAAGTGAATTCTATCTCAGGATTGACTTAAGAGTTCTCTTAAGTTTCCAGATCATTGTACTCCTTATAAATATGATTTGGAAGTACCTTAACATGGTTTCCCTTGTGACAGGAAAATGTGTTTTTCCTTAGGAAGGTAAAGTGTTAAACTATTTTGCCAAAATAATAACAAAATAAATAAATTACTTGTTTTGTTCAACCTGTTACACACGCATACATGAAATTTCACTTTACATTATGTACCACTCATAATGTAAACCTTGTAAACTTACTTAAAAGTTTGGCTTCAAAATCCCTTCCTTCCCTATCTGCTTTCAAGGATGCTAAACAACATGATCAAATCTAGCAAGAGATGGCATTCTCCATGCTCTTACTGCTTACAGGATCCAAAACACCCTTGTCATGACAACTGCAATTTAGAATTTCATTTAGTATTTTTCTTGCTTAGGGTTAGTTTCATACAGAAACATCAACTGATTCCACAGAAAACACAGAATCAGTATTTGGGTGATTACAAAAAGATCCATTAAGACTTCCATACCCGCTCTCCCCTCTAACTATGCTGTCTTCAGTTTTAAGAAAGTAAGTTGTATCCTTCAAGATTAAATAGATTCTTAGAGGGAGATTCTGGCTTCAGTTCCAGAATACAAAGTATATCCTGCCCCCCCACCCCCCCCCCCCCCACTATG